CCAACTGTCTCGAAGAAAAAAAATAAATAAAATAAATAAATAAATAAAAAGAATCAAAATGTCAGAGTGACTTCCCTGTGTCCAAACATTTTACTGGGTCTTCCTCAATTAAAAATCACAAAGAGAGCCGGGCGGCGGTGGAGCATGCCTTTAATCCCAGCACTCAGGAGGCAGAGGCAGGTGGATCTCTATGAGTTCGAGACCAGCCTGGTGTACAAGAGCTAGTTCCAGGATGGGCTCCAAAGCCACAGAGAAATCCTGTCTCGGGAAAAAAAATAGCAAAGAGCTGGACAGTCGTTGCATCGCCTTTAATCCCAGCACTTGGGAGGTAGAGGCAGGCGGATCTCTGTGAGTTCCAGGCCAGCCTGGTCTACAGAGTGAGTTCCAGGACAGCCTCCAAAACAATAGAGAGAAACCCTGTCTCAAAAACCAAAAAAAAAAAAAAAAAAAAAAGGAAAAAAAGCAGTAAATAACAATCTAAGTTAAATATTTTTATAATATTTGAGAAAATGTTTATCAGTTTAGTATTTTTGTATGTAAAATGTACTTCCAAATTTTGTTTTGTTCTGTTTGTTTTTGGATGGTTTGGTTTGGTTTTTGGCTTTTTGAGACAGGGTTTCTCTATATACCAGTCCTAGCTGTCCTGAAGCTTGCGTTGTATACCACACTGTCTTCAAACTCACAGAGATTCACCTGCCTCTGCCTCTTGAGTGCTAGGTTTTAAAGCTTGCCCAAGCTCAGTTCTTTGAAAAGTTTCATTGGGTAGCTCTGGCTGGTCTGGAACTTGCTTTATAAACTAAGCTAGCTTAGAACTCAGAGATCCACTTGGCTCTATGATTAAAGGCATGTTCCACCATGCCCAGCTTATTTTGCTTTTAAAGATTTTCAAGGCTGCACAAGTGCATCTTTGTGAGTTTGAGGTCAGCCTGATCTACATAGTGAATTCAGTTCTGGACCAGCAAAGACCTCTCTTTTTTTGAGGGGTTGGTTTGAGATAGGGTTTCTCTGTGTAGTTTTGGAGCCTGTCCTGGAACTCACTTTGTAGACCAGACTGGACTCAAACTCACAGAGATCCTCCTGCCTCTGCCTCCTGAGTGCTGGGATGAAAGTACGTGCACCACTGCCGGGCTATCTTTGTATTTTGGGGACAGGTTTTCCTGTGTCCCAGGCTGGCTGTGTGCTCTCTATGGAGATCTTGGAAATTTTTTTTTTAATTTTTAAAGTCATTTTTTTCTATTTTGCAGGGTCTTTCTTTTCTTTTCTTTTTTCTTTTTTTTTTTTTTTCCGAGACAGGGTTTCTCTGTGGCTTTGGAGGCTGTCCTGGAACTCGCTCTGTAGCTGGCCTCGAACTCACAGAGGTTTTTTTTTGTTTTTTCTTAAGTTTTATTTATTTATTATGTACACAGTATTGTGTCTGCATGTGTCCCTGCAGGCCAGAAGAGGGCACCAGATCTCATTACCGATGGTTGTGAGCCACCATGTGGTTGCTGGGAATTGAACTCAGGACCTCTGGAAGAGCAGTCAGTGCTCTTAACCTCTGAGCCATCTCTCCAGCCCGAGATCTTGATACTTTGATCATCTTGATTCTATCTCCCTAGTGCTAGGATTATGGGCATACATGACTAGTCAGAATTGGGCAGTGCTGAGAATGGAATCCAGGGCTTTGTGCCCATTTGGGCTAATATCCTACCATCTGAGCCACACCCTCAGTCTAAAGGATGGTATGCTTTTCATTTAACTGAAACAAATTTAATTATGTGTCTGGAAAGAAGGCTCAGTATTTTAAAGCACTTATTGCTCTTGAAAAGGGTGGGGTTCAGCCGGGTGTTAGTGGCGAATGCCTTTAATCCCTCCCAGCACTCGGGAGGCAGAGGCAGGCGGATCTCTGTGAGTTTAAGGCCAGCCTGGTCTACAGAGTGAGTTGCAGGACAGCCTCCAAAAGCCTCGGAGAAACTCTGCCTCAAAAATAAAAAAAAAGGGTGGGGTTCAGTTCCCAGCACCCACACTGTGGTTCACAAACATTCGCAATGCCACTTGCAGGAGATCCAGTGCCTCTTCTGAACTCTGAGGGCTTCAGCATATATGTGATACACATACATATAGTTAGGTACACACATACACATAAAATACATGTTAAAAAATATTTTCAGGGGCTGGAGAGATGGCTCAGAGGTTAAGAGCACTGACTGCTATTCCAGAGGTCTAGAGTTCAATTCCCAGCAACCACATGGTAGCTCACAACCATCTACAATTCAATCTGGTGTCCTCTTCTGGCATGTAGGCAGAACACTGTATATGTAATAAATAAATAAATCTTTAAAAAAATATTTTCAGAAGCCAGGCGGTGGTGGCACATGCCTTTAGTCCCAGCACTCGGGAGGCAGAGGCAGGCGGATCTCTGTGAGTTCCAGCTCAGCCTGGTCCACAAAAGCTAGTTCCAGGACAGTCTCCAAAGCCACAGAGAAAAAATCCTGCCTCAAAAAAGGGCCTGGAGAGATGGCTCAGAGGTTAAGAGCACTGGCTGCTCTTCTAGAGGTCCTGAGTTCAATTCCCAGCAACCACTTGATGTCTCACAGCCATTCGTAATGAGATCTGGTGCCCTCTTCAGGCCCGAAGGCATACATGCAGGCAGAACACTGTATACATAATAAATAAAACATCTAAAAAAATCTTTTAAAAAATATTTTTGCCGGGCATTGGTGGTGCACACCTTTAATCCCAGCACTCGGGAGGCAGAGGCAGGCCAGTCTGGTCTCCAAAGCAAGTTCCAGGACAGGCTCCTGAGCTACACAGAGGAAACCTTGTTTTGAAAAACCAAAAGAAGAGAAAAATTTTCAATTATTTTTATGTTACATGTGCATGAGTGCTTTGAATACATGTGTGCCAACCACGTGCCTGTTGGCTCTGAAGACCAGAAGAGGATCCCCTGGGCCTGGAGATACAGTGCTTGTGAATGACATGAAGGTCTAGAAATGGACCTTGGCTACCCTAGAAAAGCAGTCAGCGCTCTTAACCTCTGGGCCATCTCGCCAGCCCTAAAGTCTTTAAGTTACATTTACTTTGTTTTATGTTATTTGTCATGTGTATGTGAATGTGCACATGGATCACATTGATGGTGTGGTCTCCTCCACCATTTAGGTCCTGGGGAACAAACCCATGCAGTCAGCCTTTATCTGCCGAGTCATCCTGTCATCCCCAACCCTCTTCTTGAGACAAGTTCTTACTGTGTAAGCCAGGTTGGTCACCATGCTCCTTCAATCCTGTTTCAGCCTCCTGGACCAAAGAATTACAAATGTGATCCACCAAGCCTGGCCTGATTCTGTAACTCATGCCAGAGGCAGGCGGATAGATACCTTGAGTTAGAGGCCAGCCTGGTCTACATAGTAAGCTCCAGGTCAGCCAAAACTATATCATGAAACTGTCTCACAGAAAAATTAAAAATAGCCAGGCATTGGTGGCACACGCCTTTAATCCCAGTACTCCAGAGGCAGAGGCAGGCGGATCTCTGTGAGTTCGAGGCCAGTTTTGATCTACAGAGCAAGTTCCAGGACAGCCTCCAAAACAATACAGAGAAACCCTGTCTCAAAACTAAAAACAAAAACAAAAAAAATTAAAAATAAAATTGTGTGATTGTGGGGCTGGAGAGATGGCTTAGAGGTTAAGAGCACTGACTTCCCTTCCAAAGGTCCTGAGTTCAATTTCTACAACCACATGGTGGCTCACAATCATCCATAATGAGGTCTGGTGCCCTCTTCTGGCCTGCAGAGACACATGCAGGCAGAAGATTAAAAAAAATGTGTGATTGTGCTGTGTGTACCACATGGTGCGTGATGGAAGAATTGGGGACAGAACTGAGGTCCTCAGGCTTGACAGCAAACACTATCTGCTCAGCCCTCTCAATCAATCTGTCCAGCTCCTCAAACTCAGAAATCTGCCAGCCTCTGCCTCCTGAGTGCTGGGGTTTGAGCCACCAGTGCCCGGCTTTTTTCTTTTCTTTTTTTTTTTTTAAAGGTGGGTTTCTTTATAACAGCCCTGGCTGTCCTGGATCTCCCTCTGTAGACCAGGCTGGCCTAACAATCAGAGATTTGGCTGCCTCTGTCTCTTGAATGCAGAGATTAAAGGCCTGTGCCACCCATGCCAGGTGCTCTGGAATCTTCCCCACAGGAGCAAGGTGTAGCAGCGTGGTAGCGCGCTGGAGGCCTAGGCTCCATCAGCAGCACCACACATGAGCATGCACAGAAATGTTCGGGGTTTGGGGCAGGGTTTTGCACTGTGGTCCAGGCTTGTGTGAAACCTGCGATCCTCCAGCCTCAATTTCTAAGAGCTAAATTTACAGCCTAAAAGGCGGACATGGTAGTGCACGCCTTTAATCCCAGCATTCGGGAGGCAAAGTCAGGCGGGTCTCTTGAGTTACAGGCCAGACTGGTCTTGAAAAATCAAAAAACAAAAACAAGCCGGGCGGTGGTGGTGCACGCCTTTAATCCTAGCACTGAGGCAGGCGGATCTCTGTGAGTTCGAGGCCAGTCTGACCTACAGAGCGAGTTCCAGGACAGCCTGAGCGGTTATACAGAGAGAGACCCTGTCTAAAAAAAAAAACCAAACCAAACAACAACAACAACAACAAAAAGACTGTAGGCTGAGCCAGCGCATTCTACTTCTCTGACTCAAGCCCTTTTGGGTAAATGGAATGGGTGCGCCAAGTCTTTTTTTCCCCCTCCCCCGCCGCGATTTTTGTAATTCTCGCCTGAGAACCCCTTTTCTTCCAACACTTCTCTGCCCTCCCAAGCGGCGATCTGCAGGCTGGGAAGGAGTCTAGCCAGACCAACGAGTAGGGGGGGTTGGGGAGAGTGAAGAATGTCCCAGGCTGAGGTGAGGCAACAGCACGACCTAAGTCTGCTGGAGACCAAGCCGGGGGGTGGAGGGAAAGGGGAAGGACTCTCGATGGGGGCCGGGCAGCGCCGCGCAGGGGCTCCGGGGGCGGGCAGGGCCGCCTGCCGCGGGCTTCCCGGGCCAGTCTGGGTTCAAAGCAGCCCCTGCGCGGCTCCAGAAGCCGCCCCCTCCTCCAACGCAGGGCAGCCCCCGCCGGGAGGGACTCAAAGAAGTTTCTGCTGATTGGAGGGAGGGCGAGGAGGCCGGGAGAAGGGGCGTGGGGGTGTGTGTCCCACTGTCATGTAAATATCCCCCGCGGGCAGGGCGGCTGCGAGGCCGGCTTCCACCTCCCGCACCTGAGGTCGCTCCAGCCCCTGCCACTCTCTTCCTCCTCTGCGCGCCGAGGCTCGGGCCGCCGGCTTCCCCTCGCCACTTCCCTGGTGCCATGGCCCCGAAACGGCAATCTGCGCTCCTGCCTCAGTCCAAGAAACCCAAGTCGGTTCCCGCCGCCAAGCTGGAGGACAAGTCGGCCTCTCTCGGCCTGCCTAAGGGAGGTAAGTGCCTCCATCGCGTTTCCTTGGTGATCGATCCTAGTTGGCCTTTCTCTGCCCCGATCCTTCTGGAGATGGGACCCCCCCCCACACACACACAAAGTCTCCCGAAAGGCTCTCGGCTCGGGGCGCCCGGGGAGTAGTGAGGCAGACGTACGAGCGGGAGCAGAAAGCGCGGGACCGGGAAGCCCGTGCGGAGGGGACTTCCTCTGGCCCGTGACACCACGTGGGATCCAGCTCGCTCTTCCCAGCCCCCAAACTCCCTCCTGGCGAGCTTCTGCACGAGCGAGTGCACCACCCACCACTCTCGAGTCCTCCCCGCCCTTCCGACGCCGAGTCCTGGAGGTCTCGAGCCCTCCCGGGTCGGTCTCCCTGTTGGTGCAGCCGCCAGCCCACAACTCCGGCCTGAATTACTGCCACCTCGTGCGGCTCCCAGCTTCCTTCTCCCATCCTGCCCAAGCAAAGCCAGTCACGTGACCGGCTCCCCAGACTTGTAAGACAGCCTCTTGCTCGGTCGCCCTCCAGGTACAAACTAAGACTTCCTGTACCGGGGACCCTGCCCACCTGGACCCCACCCACTTCTGGTTCTGTACGTGGTGGTCACCCTGTAGCACCTACAATGTCGCCTAAACGATTGGGAGCTGCATGCTCGCCTGCGGCCGCGGACACCTACTTGTCCTCGGTCAGGAAACCCGCGCTCCCCTTCGGCCCCGAAGCGGAGTGAGGGGAGATCGGTCTCCAGCTTCTCCCCCTGAGCCTAAGCCCCTATCAGAAGCCCCTGTTGACCGCACCCAGTGTCCGCCCCGTGCTAGCACTTTCCCCATTTTCCACTTAGACCGTGGTTTCCGTGCCTGCACTTTTCCCCCTTCCTCTGTTGACCACGAGGGCTGCGTTTCTTAGACTCAGCTCCGAGTCGTGGTGCGGTACTTTTCCCGAGTGGCTTGGGTCCGGTACAGCGCAGGGAAGCGGAGGGAAAGTGTCGGTTGGGCTGAACTTTAGTGCCTCGGGTGGAAGGGACACTAGACGCCGAGTGGAGTCCACACCTCAGCCCTTCTGTGGTTCTGTTAACTTTTGCTGTGTTTTAGTCGTTCGCCTTTCAAATGGCAGGCAGAGACCTGCCCTGTGCCTCAGAGTGGTAAAGACCGGGTCTCCGTACGCAGCCCTGGTTGACCTGGTACTCAGCCTCCCTTTGCCATCCTGGGATTAAAGGCACTACCTGGCATTTTTCCTTTTGGTTTTTCGAGACAGGGTTTTTCTGTAGCTTTGGAGCCTGTCCCGTAACTTGCTCTTTAGACCAGACTGGCCTGGAACTCACAGAGATCCACCTGTTTGCCTCGGAAGTGTTGGGATTAACGGCGTGGGCCACCACCGCCTGGTTTACGCTCTCTCTGTTCGTTCTGCATTGTTTACCATTTCCGAGTGTGCTTGTGCATTCCTCTTGAAGGCCGCTGTCTAATCATAAGGTGGCCCCTCAAACCTCTTGGGTCTTCTGTAGATCTACAGAAGGTAATGGTTACCAACCAACCTGTGGGTCAGACATTGTGGGTAAAAATAGCAGTTTTTAGACAAAAGAAAGTGGCCCTAGGAATGGACCGTGAAACCTCTGTAATGAGGTATGGCCTGTAGTTAGAAAAAGAAGATTGGAGAGGTGGCTCAGTGCTTAAGAGCACTTTGGCCTTGCTCTGAGGACTTGGATTTAGTTTCCCAGCACGCACATGGTGGCTCACAACCACCTGTAACTCCAGCTCCAGGAGGAGCCAGCATCCTCTCCTGGCCTCCCTTCCATCTGCAGCAACATGGTATACCTATATTATATACACACGGACAAAACACTATGTAAAATAGAAATAATTTTTAATGTTTTGTAGTAATACAAAGAAACAGATCTGTCATTCTTTTTGGTTTATCGAGACAGGGTTTCTCTATTGTTTTGGAGGCTGTCCTGGAACTCACTCTGTAGACCAGGCTGGCCTTGAACTCACAGAGACCCGCCTGCCTGTGCCTCCCGAGTGCTGGGATTAAAGGTGTGCGCCACCAACCTCAGGGCAGGTGTGTTTTTGTGTGTATGCCCATTATTGATGTCAGTTGTGTCTCTTAGGCCACCTTTAAAATGTTGAGGGGTTTTGGGTTGGAAGAAAACCAGTAAGTTAGTCTTAAGTCATCCTGGTCTACATAGCCCGCTCCAGGCCCCCCACAAAGAAAAATAGTAATTTATCTTGATTTTGCCTTCTGTAAAGTTCAGTTGGAGGTGGGGCTTTGTGAATGGACAGCGATGACAGCTTAGCAAGCACCAGACTCAGGTTTCCGGACTCATTACCTCAGGTTTAATTTTATCCATAAAATGTACTTCGTATCTTACCTTCAGTTTGAGGCTGGGGGGTGTGTGGTTAAGTAATAGGACTTGCCTAGTAAGCACCAGGCCTCAGGTTCAACTCTCAACACCGAAAGATAAAACCTACTTTGTATGGAAGGAGAGGGTTATAGGAATGCTCTTGTGTGGTGGGCCTTGCAGGAGTTGACAGCTAACCTTTCTGCCTGTCTCCTGTCTCTTTCCTGATTTTGTTTGTGGAATTTCTTTGCAACTGTGCCAGGACCTTACAGGACTATCTTGAAATGATCCGTGGTGAAAGTTTGACCGGACATTTAGCAAATGTTACAGATCACAAATGTTATTCCACTGTTTTGTTATTTCTTTGCCAGATGTTTGTTTCCCTCTTTAAGAAAGCACCTGTCCACAGTTGTATGTGCCTGTGAGCTGTTGGAGTCCTTAGTGGCTGTTGACAGTTTTTTTTTTTTTTTTTTTTGTTTTTTTCGAGACGGTTTCTCTGTATTGTTTTGGAAGCTGTCCTGGAACTCGCTCTGTAGACCAGGCTGGCCGAATGCTGGAATTAAAGGCGTGCGCCACCAGTGCCGGGCTATTGACAGGTTTAAGTTTACCAATTGTAATAGATGAAAGGAATTCACAGAATTAAGCAGAAGGTGCCCCAGAAGGCTTAGGCGAATTTCCTGAAGTTGATGGAGATTGTGTATGCATGGTGTATTTTACATTTATTGATCACCAACCGTGAGTGTCTTTACTATTAAAGCCACACGGCTTTATCTTTAAGAACTGATAATAAAACAGGAATGTTGGGAGGTGGGTGACTACCCCAAGCTCAAGTTGCAGACCACTCAGTTAGAGAGGTCTTTTCCAGGACCACGTGTTGGGGTAGAGGAGAGCTGCTATCTTTTCAAGCCATGGAAAACTGTTTAAGCAGAAAAGCCTCTTCCCAACATCGTGCTTAAGGGCTTTTTAACCTAAAACTGGGTTTTGCCGTTTTAGTCTTTGATATTTAAGAAGCCTAAACATTTCTCCATTTGTGGCCTTATTGCTGAGATGGACACACCTGGTATTAAATTAGGCCTGTGGCAGCATGGCGCTTCCTACATTCAGAGGACTTAAACATTAGTGTGACCCTGTTTGAGTATGACATGTGACAGCTTTTGAATTTTCAGAATCGAGTGCAGAGTGGAGGCTTGACTTGGCCCAAGGGTACATAACACCAGGGCCCTGTGAGTAGACTGGATAGATGAACTGTTTGTAGGTTTGCGCACAAGCCCGGAGTTTGAGTTGGGAACGCAGTGTCTCCATCTAGAAAAAAGGATGGAGGTGCTTCTTTCTCCCGCAAAGAGGGAGGTCGGACCTACGGTGCCCGGGGTGCACAACTGTAATCTGTACTCCCAAGGCCTGCACTTTGGAGGGGCTGCGCGCGCCCCCTCTCTGGCGCCCCCGGCCGCCCCGAAAAGGGAAGCCGCTCAGCCACCACGTGATGCGCGGGTATTGGGGAGAGGAGGCCCCGCCCCTTAGGTCGCCGCGCGCCCGCCGCCGCGCGCAAACGTCCCGGGTCGGCAGGAGAAGGGGAAAGCGGGGGAGGGGAGCGCCGCGCGGGGGCCGGACCATGCGTCGCGGAGCCGCTTCCTCCCGCCTCTCGTCCAGGCCCCAGTGTCCCCACCACCGCCACCACCACCCGCTACGGCCCCGCCCCCTGGCCCGCGGCCCCAGCCAATAGCTGTGCGGCGCGAGCGTCTCCGCTCGGGGGCGGGCCTTGCGCAGGCCTAGCGCGCCTGCGCTCTGCCGACTGCCCCTCGCCGCGAAGAGGAGGAGGTGGAGGAGGAGGAGGCGGCTCAGGGCAATCGAGAAGCGAGCCGGAGCGCGGGGCGCGAGTCGAGGAGTCCAGCCGAGCCGCTGCCGCCGCCTCCCCGCCTTGAGCGAGAGCCCCGGCCGGGGGCCCGCCACAACGCGCCCGGGCCTGCCTCGGCGTCAGGCCTCGCGGGCAGCGCCAGGCAGCCAGGGGGAGGGCGAGCAAGAGAGCGCCGGGAGGAGGCGGCCGGAGCAAGCGGCGCCGCGCGTGTGGCGTGAGGGGAAGCCGCTGGCCGCCCCCTTGGCCGTCCCTTCGCTCCCCCTCCCCGCTCCCCGCCCCGACCGCGGAGGGCACCATGTCGGCGCCGACGGCCAAAACCAGTAAAAAGGAGCTCAACTCCAACCACGACGGGGCCGACGAGACCTCAGGTGAGGACCGGGCGCGGCGGGGGCCCGGCCGCGCCGCCATCTTTCGGCCCGGGCCGCGGGGCTGCGGGGGGCGCGCGGCGGCCGCGGAGCCGGCGCCCTTTTTGTGTGCGGCGCGGGCCCGGGGTGGCGCCGTGGCGGCGGGCTGTGCGGACGAGGCGGGGGCGCTGCGGCCTGCGCGGCGGGCGGAGACCCCCCCTTCCCCCGCCCGCGCTCTCCTCCCCCTCCCTCCCTCCCGAGAAGCCTCTCTTTATTGTGCTCCGCCATGATGCCTCGCTCCCATCAGCCGCCGCCGCCGCCACATGGTGCGGCCGGACGCAGCCCTGCGGCCCGGCCCCTCCCGCCACCCTGCTTCCCGCCCGGAGCCGGCGCCGCGGCGGGACCGGGAGCTTAGGTCTGGGGCGGGGTAGCGACGCGGAGCCGGCGCGAGGATGCTCCGGGCTCCGCGGGTAGCACGCCCCACGTGGGGCAGCCACACTCGGGCGCGCCGGGCGTGCGAGGAATCTGACCCGGAGGCCGAGCGCTGCAGGGGCTTCCAAGGGCCCTTAGGACGTCTAGTCCTCTCCGGGAGGGTCTTTTTAGCAAAGGGCCGCTGCAGGACCCCAGGGCTAGTTACCGGAAATGGACCGCGCGGTCGGGCCCCTTCACGCCCACTTAGCTTTGTAAAAGCCTTCGCAGCCCTCACCGGACAAAAGGGCACGAATTAGGAGCACACCCCTTTACCTCCTCGGGCCCTACTAGTTTTGGAACGGCGTTTTCCCAGTAAGTGTTCAGAAATGCTGTACGGCCGCGTGTGATGACCAGTCTCAGGACAGGGTTGAAGGAGTAAGGTCGGGTTGGAATCAGTTTCGTATTCTAAGACTGAGGTAGTTTGGTGACTGACTGGTCTTTTTGTCGGTGTTTGTTGATAGTCGTAATAAATTGAGCAGTGTTTTTAGAGCGGTTGTACCAGTTGGTAGTATCATAATTTGTCATGGATTAGTTTCCACATTAAGTTAGCAGCTGGCACCGTTCTATTGCAAGTGTATAATGTGATTAGTAATGAACACGAAGAATTTCTGAATGAGGCCTTTCCCTCACCTTTCATAATGAAGGCGGGTGATTGGACCCTTGTAATGAAACTCTTTAAAAAGTGAACCAGTAATGAAGCATTTTTCAGAGTGGCCTAGCCAATATCTTAATTTGTGAGAGGTCGAGTAATGAGAAAGTAATTTGTCAACTGCGTGCTTGAACACGTGGGGAGCATGCTTTGTAGTAAGCACTTTTCTACAGTTTCACTGTTACAGCTCACATCGTATCAGGAAGTGTAGCTTTGTAACTTGTATTGAGTCTTGTGTTCCTTTTGTTTTGCAGAAAAAGAACAGCAAGAAGCAATTGAACACATTGACGAAGTACAAAATGAAATAGACAGGTAAATTAGAATTTAATTCACCTTATGGATGTTTTCTTGAGAATCCTGTTTTTTGGTGGGCATAATTCCTGGATTAAACAGTACCTCAGCCCTCCAGGTGGAAGGAGACTTGCTTTTAAAGGCTACAAAATTTCCTTGCCTGGTGGGTGGTGTCTTTCAGTTTTCATAGAGAAGTGTGGGGAAAATGTTACATGTTTCTAAACAACTTCATTTAATACTTTGTGTTACTTGGGAAACACAATCTGGATAGCCCAGAAATGGAGTATATTGAAATACAATGTTGTCACTACTGGAGACAAGCCGTTAGCCCTGCGGTTTTGGTTCCCAGAGAGGCCTGGGGGCAAGGAATGCAGATACTCCCCAAGGGGGACAACAATGTTGCTAAAATGTGTCAATTTGGATATTTAGCTTTACTGCTTTATTTTTTTATTCTAGTCTTCAGGAGTAAGCTAGGGAGTCTGTGTCTATAAATAGACCTTTTGCAGATCTGAAACCAGTGAAAAAGCATATTTTGTAGTCTTGAACAAGTTATATTTGTCAAATAACAATCGTTATAGTAGTCAACATGTCTTCATTTTTTCAGACTTAATGAACAAGCCAGTGAGGAAATTTTGAAAGTAGAACAAAAATATAACAAACTCCGCCAGCCATTTTTTCAGAAGAGGTCAGAATTGATCGCCAAAATCCCAAATTTTTGGGTAACAACATTTGTCAACCATCCACAAGGTGGGTCAGCTGTACTGAGGGTTAGAACATTTGTCCTGTAGTTGGGGTGCTCTAGGGGCATTGGTCTCCAGGGCAGTGGGTGTATCAGAGAACAGAGTTGTTCCTGAATTTGTAAGCATTATCCATTCAAACTTGACCTGATCCAAGTTGCTTGTCTAGTGTCTGCACTGCTTGGGGAGGAAGACGAAGAGGCTCTGCATTACTTAACCAGAGTTGAAGTGACAGAATTTGAAGACATTAAATCAGGTTACAGAATAGATTTTGTAAGTAGTTAACATCCTGTTTGCCTATGAAAATGAATATGTGCTTTAGTTATTAGTTGTTTATTGATTTTTCTAATCTTTTGATCTTTTACAGTATTTTGATGAAAATCCTTACTTTGAAAATAAAGTTCTCTCCAAAGAATTTCATCTGAATGAGAGTGGTGATCCATCATCAAAGTCCACTGAAATCAAATGGAAATCTGGAAAGGTATTTCATATATAGTGGCTTAGTTGAGTCTGTTGAATACTAGTGCTCAGTGCCTTATATTTTTGGGTGAAAGTGCTGAAATTACAGTGTGTAGAGGTCAGATACAATACTAGTTATACAAAGTTTTCATAGTGCAGTATCTTACACATTTTTCAGTTTTGGAGACACAGGTCTGACTTGTAGAAGTATTTTATTATGAAGTCAGACAGTTGGTAAGATACACATCCTTCTGTGAAAGCAGTTACAAATGCACACTTTATAATTGTTCTTAGTAATGTGTGATCTCTACTGTGATCTTTTGCTTCGGGGGTATTTTGGTGGTGTATAAAGCTAATATAGCACACATTGATGTTTTTGTTTAGGATTTGACAAAACGCTCAAGTCAAACACAGAATAAGGCCAGTAGGAAGAGGCAGCACGAAGAGCCAGAGAGCTTCTTTACCTGGTTTACTGACCATTCTGACGCGGGTGCAGATGAGTTAGGAGAGGTCATCAAAGATGATATTTGGCCAAACCCCTTGCAGTACTATTTGGTGAGTTGATGCTCATTGACTTGAGGTTGTGAATGTGTTCATAAAGGAACACTGTCTGGGTTTTGTTTGGTTTTGCTTTTTTAAATTCGGTCTTTTCAAGTCCTTTGCTTGGTTTTTTTAAGGTTCCTGATATGGATGATGAAGAAGGAGAGGCAGAAGATGATGACGATGATGATGAAGAAGAAGAAGGCTTGGAAGATATCGATGAAGAAGGGGATGAAGATGAAGGTGAAGAAGATGAAGATGATGATGAAGGGGAAGAAGGAGAGGTAAGAAAACATAAGACTTCAGGGACTTTGGAGATTATTTAGAATATAATGAATAATACTAGAATGTAATATAATTATAATATGGAAATGGCTACAAGAATTGGAAGATTTGGGGGAGATGAAGTCTTACCATCTGGATCTTTTCCCCCCTTGTTTTAAATTTTTATATGTATGGGTGATTTGCCTACATGTCTCTGCACTACATGTAACTTACCTGAAACTATCAGAAGGGGGCATTGGATACCCTGGTATTGAAGTTAATGACGACTGTGCCACTGTGGGTACCAGGGTTCTGAAGTGCTCTTAATCTGCAGGCACGCCTTCACTGCCAGAGGTAGCTTAATGATGATTCATATTAGGCTAAGAGAACTGGGTGCTGTCCAAGGAGTGTTTGAGGGCCTCCCCGTGTTTTGTACCCAGAAGCTAATGAAAAGTCTTAGAGTTTGCCCTAATGGTTGACTGGTACTTATTCTTTCAGGAGGATGAAGGCGAGGATGACTAGCACAGAAGACTGATGGATTCCAACCCTCTTTTTTTATTTTCTTTTATTTTTAATTTTCTCCAGTCCCTGGGAGCAAGTTGTGGTCATTTCCCTCCCCTCCCTTCCCCGATCCCTCTTGTGCTCAGTCGCCCTGTTTTTGAGGTCTCTTCTCAACACCATGGTTCTCAACTTACTTGGGGGGAAATACCTTGAGCAAAATACAACGAGAAAAGAATCTCCACTCTTCTGTTCTAGATTCATTTTTATCCTTGTCTCAGACTATGGTTTCAACACCACCAACGTGCTCTGTGGGGGAAAAAAGAGAAGTCCTCTGGCTCCCTGGGCTCTGCTGGAGGCTAGGGGTGCTAGGCCCCTGTGTAGTAGTGCATAGAATTCTAGCTTTTTTCCTTTCTCTGTATATTGGGCTCAGAGATTACACTGTGTCTCTATGTGAATACAGACAGTTAGCATTTACCAACATGTATCTGTCTACTTTCTCTTGTTTAATAAAAACAAAAAAAAAAGAAAAAAAGGGGGGTATAGAAGGTCAGCAAGGGTGGGTTTGAGGTGTCTGGGGGGGTAAGTGGGCATTGTGACAACATGGCTTCTCCTTTGGCATGTTTAATTGTGATGTTTAACAGACATCCTTGCAGTTTAAGGTGACACTTTTAAAATAAAATTCTCTCCTAACGATGACTTGAGCCCTGCCACTCAATGGGAGAATCAACAGAACCTGTAGGGTTTTATTTGGAATTGACATTCTCTGTTGTAACTTTTAATTTTTTTTATTTTTTATTTTTTTGGTTTTCACTGGAAGGAAAAAGATGCTCATTTTTAAATGTTGAAGTGTACAAGTTGCTTTGTTACAATAAAACCAATGTGTACACAAAGAACCGGATGCTTTTCTGTCAGGGCAGATGCTCAGTATGACCTTCCAAGTTTGACCTGCATAATGACATGTCAAACTGTCTCCCTAACTTGGTAATTTTTTGATACGCACTTTGCAGGATGACCTCAGGGCTATGCAGACTAAGTTAAAGGGATTTGAACCATGTCTTAATGTCCAAAACTGAGTGATTGGGTACAGTTTGCTGCCATGGACTTGGACCCTTGATTTTTATCTCAATTTGGCATTTTTTAAAATGGGCCATTAGTTGCCTGGATATTATGTACAAAGGACAGCTGCATGTCAGCATTGGCAGTGTGAACTGGCCAAGAAAGTGGGCTGTCAGAGTATGCAGTCCATGGGGTGGTCAGGAGTGCTCTGTCCCAGGCATGCAGCAGAAGCTCTCAGATGTGACTGCATCTGGGTGGATAAAGAGCTTCAGTCTGCTCAACGCCATTGTGCAGAGAATAATATTCTGGAAAGCTACCTGATGCATAAGCTTTTTAATGTAAAATAGAGCTTAATTAAATGCCACTTTTTCAGAGATGATTAATGGACAGCCTGGTCAAATTCAAAAGTTTTTTGATGTATAAAACTTTATAAATGGAACTATCCCATCAATAGGCAAAGTGTAACTGAAATCTGTCTAGATGGATAGTGTGTTATTTCTGCACAGGACTCTGTTTAGTAAATACATCACTGTGTACGTCAGGAATCTTGCTCCAATAAAGGAACATAAAGATTTTTTTTGGACTGGGGTCATTCTCCTTGTTTTATAGAGGCTTAGAAGGTGTATTTAATGGCCGGGGGTACTGTGGCTATTTGGTAATTATGGCCCAGGTACGCATACAAAAGGTATGTACCAGACTCAGACATGTTACATGACTGAATAGTCTTGGTGATTGAGGGAGGGTGCTGACCTGGGACTTCTGTGAATCCTAACTCCAGGATGTTGGTGGAGTTGGGTGTGTGTCCAGTTTTAAAGTAACTTACATCCCTCACCCCTTCCTTCTTTTTCTTAACCAGTATGTTGTACTTTATTTTCAGTCTGTACCGTGTTCACTCTAGCTAGCCTGAGTGGCAAGGTGTTGCCTCCCCTTGTGCTCTAGATAGTTCTTGAGCTTTTGCATATTCTGGTTTGTTTCCCCAGTATCTAGGAGTTGTGGGAGGAAAGTCCTATAAAGAGCCAGTTACAACAGCATAATGCATGTGAACTCCAGGATTCAGGAAGTTAGAGTGCTACTACCTTGTAACTTTTAGGTTTTCAGGACAGGGTTTCTCTGTAGCTTTGGAGCCTGCCCTGGAACTCTGGATCATGCTGTCTTCAAACTCAGAGATCTGCCTGCCTCTGCCTTCTGAGTCCTGGGTTAAAAGGCACAACCCAAGGAGACCTTGTAACATTAATTTTTATGTGTATGTGAGTATTTCGCTTATGTATGTCTATACCAGGGGCAGTTCTCTGAAAGGCCCACAGAGGGCATTGGGATTCCCTGGGGCTGGAGTTCCTGGGTCCCTCTGCAAGGGCAGTGTTCCAACTGAGCCATCTTTTCCAGCCATTTTTATTTCTTGGCCACAGTGGTTCTGTTCCAAGTGTGAGCTACAGGCATCAGTTACAAAGTCAGTTCCTCAATGATTCCCTGGGGGGGCTGGAATCATGTTTTGGGGTCTTTGAAGGTAATAGTTTGACCCTATATACTGTCACTTTATTCTTGGAATTATGGATTTCAAGGATTGGGATGAGGAAGCCTAACAGCTTCCTGGACTTTGGCTATGCCTGAGGGTGTCTGGGCCGGCCTTAAAGGGGGGGGGGGGGGTGTATGAGGCATGAGAGAACTAGCGAAGTGGGCCATACTGTTTTACAAGGAGTCAAATGAGTTCCAGGAGGGTGATCTTGTCTCAAAAACAAGATTGGGGGCGGGCGTTAGACACTGCCAGCACAGAACTTCCTGAAGATGTTTATCTGTCATCAGTTCAGGGTCCCACAGGATAGCCAAGTGACTGCAGTAGTCAGTGAGCTGCAGGCATTCCTGAGGAGGTAGATGACAGTTACTCAGTGGTGGCAGAGGCAGGCTGGCCTGCACAGAAACCAATCTCAAAGCTCCATTTGCTTTGATAGAAGGCATACTGGTCTCTTGAATTCAAGGCCAGCCTGGTCTACAGGAGTTCCAGGACCACCAGAACATAGCCAGTGTATATGAAAGTTTAAATTTTGGAGATGGACTTAGAATTTGAAAGCACTTGTTACTCTTGCAGAGGACCCTAGTCTATTTCTCAGCACCCACGGAAGCATCCTGAAGCACCAACTGTTACTCTACTGACCTCTTCGCATGTACATGATGCATAGATATGGAGCTAAAAACACATAACAAAATTAAAAATAAAAAGCTTTTCTGTGAATGTGTGCTGTGTTTCTATGTTTGCTTCCTGTGTATCAGGTCTAATAGATCGTGGTTCTGTGATTAGAGTAAGACTCCTAGCAATTTCAGGGTGTTTCCCGGCTTGATAGGTAGTGTCTGCACTAAGAGACTTAGAGTAGCTGCACTAGTGGGGAGAAGGACATATAGGAAGATGTCCAGTATCGTAAAAGAGGAGTTAACAGCCGGGCGGTGGTGGCGCACGCCTTTAATCCCAGCACTCGGGAGGCAGAGGCAGGCGGATCTCTGTAAGTTTGAGGCCAGACTGGACGGACAGCCTCCAAAATACAGAGAATCCCTGTCTCGTAAAAACCAAAAAATGGGGGGGGCAGTTAGCTCTGTCTGCCTGAGAATTTGAGGAAAGTTCCTGTAGGGAGTAGGTGCTACTGGACCTTACTCTTCCAGATGCCTTAATGGGATAGTGACTTCTTTTTCCTCCATGTGAGGCACCTGACCATCTCAAAATTCAGCTTCCTGGTGCTGAAGTAGTATATAGGAGGGCCTGGGGGGTTGCATCCTTTCAGGGTTTTGCCAGGCTTATGCAAAATCCAGCATTTGACTACTCCCTGCATAAAAAAAGTACACAGAGATAACTGAAGCGTTTAGCCACCTGTAAACATTTCAGGGGATCCAGTCAATGCCATGGAATGGGGATGGGAGTCTGCAGTCACATGTGCAAATACTTTCCAAAACAGTGTTGCTGTGTGGCCTTGGCTGTCCTAGAACTGTAGGTTATCATTGGACTCAGAAACCCCGTTTCTGCCTCCCAAGTGCTGGCCTGAAAGGCATGTGCCACCATGCCTGGCTCTTTTTGAGATGGTGTTTACTATGCATTTCTGATTAATTTTTTATTAGCTTTGTCCTCTCAGTGCTAATTACAGGCACTTAATTAGCAATGTCTTGGAACTCTGACCAAACTGGTCTCAAATTTAGAGATCTCTCTGCCTCCCTAGTACTGGGGTTAAAGGCTTGTGTATTACACACTATTTTTTAAAAAGTGAATAAAAAGCCGGGCGTTGGTGGCGCACGCCTTTAATTCCAGCACTCGGGAGGCAGAGGCAGGCAGATCTCTGTAAGTTCGAGGCCAGGCTGGACCGATAGCCTCCAAAACAATACAGAGAAACCCTGTCTCGTAAAAACAAAAAAAAAAAGTCAGGCAGTGGAGACTCATACCTGTAATCCTAGTACTCCAGGGGCAGGCCTGGTCTACAGAGCAAGTTCCAGTACAGTCAGAACCACACACAGAAGCCCTGTCTGAAAACAAAACAACAAAGTGAATAAAAGATTTTGTTCGTGCATGAGGGTCAAAGGACTGCTGGTGTAAATTGGTTCTCTGCACCATCTGGGTTCAGGGTCTTTATTACTGGCAGCCAAACCCCTTTACACAGGGAACCACTGGTCCAAAGGAGTGTTCTGAATCAGATTATTTGCTTGCTTTTAGGAGTAGCATTCTCCTTTTTTCATTTTTTTTTTTTTAACGGAGGCTCAAAAGAGCCACCTGAGTGCTGGAAGTACAGGCATGTGCCACCACACCCTCTCAACCAGTGAACTGTAACACTGGGCAACTCCACGAGAAATTTGCTAGTCTGATTAATAAACTGCAATCCTTTATTTGTAACCCAAGGTTTGTTTAAATGGAGGATGGAACCATGTATAGTACCATTTAATACCAGGATTGTATATTAAGACCCTGGCTCAGTCTGTTGGTGGCACACGCCTTTAATCCCAGCACTCGGGAGGCAGAGGCAGGCAGATCTCTGTGAGTTCGAGACCAGCCTGGTCTACCGAGCGAGTTCCAGGACAGCCTCCAAAGCCACAGGGAGACCCTGTCTCGAAAAACAAAAACAAAAAAAGACCCTGGCCCAGTCAAATGGTGGTGGTGGCATTGCACGTCTTTAATCCCAGCACTTGGGAGGCAGAGGCAGGAGAATCTCTGAGTTCCAGGCCAGTCCAGGTAAGCAAGGGCTACATGGAGTAACCCTGTAAAAACAAACAAAAGACAAAATGATATCTTGGCTCAGTGGCACACACCTGTAATCCAACACAGGAAGATTAGTTCAGGGCTTCTCCATACTGAGTCCGTAAATTCAGCCAGCCTGGGCAGCAAGGGATTCTGTCTCAAAAGTAATGAAGTGGTTCTTTAATCCCAGCACTCGGGAGGCAGAAGCAGGCAAATCTCTGTGAGTTCAAGGCCAGCATGGTCTATACAGAGCGAGTTGGAGTATAGACACCAAAGCTACAGAGAAACTCTGCCTCAAAAGAAAAATGAATGAATTGGGGGCTTGCAGAAATGGGTCAGTGATTTACAGCACTTGCTACTCCTGAAAAGGACTAAGGATTTGATTCCCAGCAACACCCCCATCTCCACCCCCGTGGTGGTTCAAGACTCCAGTTCCAGGAGATCTGATGACTCTGACCTCCAAAGATACCAGATATCCAAATGGTGCACATAAAGAAATCCTAGCGCTGGGTGGTGGTGGCACACGCCTTTAATCCCAGACTCAGGAGACACACATCTACAGAGAGTAGCCTTGCCTCAAAAAATAAAAACAACAAAATGAAAGTAGCCTGGGTGTTGTGACGCGCATTTTTTTTTATGTTGTTGGTTTTTTTTTTTTTTCAAGATAGGGTTTCCCTGTGTATTTCTGGCTGTCCTGGAACACACCTGTAGACCAGTCTGGCCTCAAACTCACAAACATCTACCTGCCTCTGCGTCTCAAGTGCCAACATTAAAGGCTTGGGTATAGTATGTTTGGACAACGTCAACCAGTCCAATCTGGCCCTCTCCGCCATGCACAGTGTCTTCACCGCTCTCCCACCCCCATCCCATCTCTTGGGTAAACATTCAACTAACTCGCTGTGCTCCAGGCAAAACCCACCCAGCTGGGAATTCTCTCCTGCCCCCACCTTTTTTAGATTTTTATTTTATTTATTTATTTTTTTTTGGTTTTTCGAGACAGGGTTTCTGTGTGGCTTTGGAGGCTGTCCTGGAACTCGCTTGGTAGTCTAGGCTGGTCTCGAATTTACAGAGATCCGCCTGCCTCTGCCTCCCGAGTGCTGGGATTAAAGGCGTGCGCCACCAACGCCCGGCTTTTTTAGACTTTTATGTTTGTTTGTTTGTTTGTTTGTTTGTTTTGGAGACAGGGTTTCTCTGTGACTTTGGAGGCTGTCCTGGAACGGAACTAGCTCTTGTAGACCAGGCTGGCCTCGAACTCACAGAGATCCGCCTGCCTCTGCCTCCCGAGTGCTGGGATTAAAGGCGTGTACCACCAACGCCCGGCTTTTTTTTTTTTTAAATGAGACAGGGTTTCTCTGTATTGTTTTGGAGGCT